AGAAAGCTTTAAAGACATGAAAGGAAAGCGAGTGGTGAGGATGGTTTGGACATGCGGCCATGGGTAACACACCCTGGACAAGCATGCCCACAACACTGTGCAACACAACCTTTCTTCTGCAGCTTGGCTCGATGAACTCGAGCTCTACCCAAGCACGTGCCTTCGTGGAAGTGGTCCACTGTAACCTCCATTAATATCAACATTTTTTTAGTATTTCCAAGATAGATCTAACATTTTAGTCAGTCCTCATCTCGTGCTTGTGATTCATCCCTTGTAGATATAGCCTTACTAAACTATGTATATTGCACGCATCATCATGACCCTTCCTTTTGATCTGGTCGTGAAGTAGAGGAGAATCATGGCCGTCCATCACATCCCTGAAAACCTTTCCACATTTTCAACCATCAGTGGGTAGTTGTGTAGTGTTTTATGCATACAATAGTATTATATCATCCTGTCTCTCACCGCCCACACCCGACTAACAAAAAAATATTTGGAAATTTTTCCAATATTTTAATAGAATTTGAAATTTTTAAATATAGAAATTTATATATATAACTGTTGAATCCAACTAGAATGTTTAATCATAACTAAGATAGAAAATTGTAAAAATATAAAATATCTTTGAAAAATAGTAAGGTCGATAATAATAGGCATAGAGATAGATTCTCACTGATCAGGACTTAAGTTTTTTTGTCTCAAAATATAGTGCAATAATGCAAGTGACTAAACGATCATTAGAACTTTCCACTTAAGTTTTTTTGTCTCAAAATATAGTGCAATAATGCAAGTGACTAAACGATAATTAGAACTTTCAACTTTCAATCTAAAGCTACGTTTAAAATAACATAATTTGTAGAATTTATAATATGTTAGCTAACCATCCTTTGGGAATCTTAAATCAAATAATAATGAAATAATTCACATGGGGTGCAAACGCAAAGAGCCAAAAGAGAGGGGGTAAATAGTGGGTCAGAGTTCGCGGCCCTTCCTTTGAAATTACATGTCAATTTCAACTTTATGAACAAAGAACATCCCAAAACAAATTATAATCGTTCTTTTTTTTCTCATAGATTTAATTATTTACAACAAAAATCATATTTTCTTTTCTTTTTCCATTTTTCTTAACTAAATATAGCTCAACTTATTAAAGTTCACATTTGGAGTGTTTTCAATCCTTTTAATCCTGTATTCTGATATTACTAAAAGAAGCATGGTTTTGATTTTTGATTTATTTATTTTATTTGAGTTCAGCACGGTTTTGATTTTATAACTTCATTGGGTCCAGCTTATACCACCAAACAACCTTGAAGAAAAAGCAGATTTGGAAAAGAAAAAAAAAAGAAAAGGAAATAATCTGTTCAACTTTGTGGCACCTGGTAGCTTCCTAGCAAATGGCTGCAGGTGGGGTGGTTATAAGTAGAGAAGCTGTTCAACTTTGAACAAAATTTGGGTCTCACAATTGCATCAAACTAAACTATGCAGTCTTCAAGAACCAGAAGCCCTGCTCCTTTTCTATCCAAGACTTATGATCTGTTAGAAGAAGCTGGAAGCTTCCATTTTAAAGCAGCTCATCATGAAGAAGAAGAAGAAGAAAATGGTGGCAATCCTAGGATTGTGTCCTGGAATGCAGAGGGAAGTGGGTTCATAGTTTGGTCTCCTACTGAGTTCTCTGAGATTTTATTGCCCAAGTACTTCAAGCACAATAATTTCTCTAGCTTCATTCGCCAGCTTAATACCTATGTATGTGATTCTCTCTCTCTCTTTCTCTCTCTGGGAATGCCCCACCATTGCTATTCCCATAAACATCCTGAAAGACGAGTTGATCATTTAGATCCAAGAGGCGCTTTTCCTAATTTTTTGAATACTGGTATTCGTCCTTGGAAATTGGATCTATACATATAGTTTATCTATAATACATATTCTTCATACTCTAATCCTGTAGAATTCGAAGATGCCATATTTAGTTACCACTAAATCGAAAAGCTTAAGATGATAGGTTACAATATTAGTAACCTTATCTTTCGGACGTCATTTTCTAGGAAGGGTTTCGATCTAGTTCTTGTGATTTTGGAGACAGGGCTTCAAGAAAACGTCGCCAAAGAGGTGGGAGTTCAAGCACGAGAAGTTTCAGCGGGGAAACAGGCACATGTTAGGGGAGATTGTACGTAAGAAGTGTGAACCAAGTGTGTTTCCAGCCTTTCTAAGATCGTCTCGTGAAGGGGATACAACAATAGTGGCTGCTGATCGGGAGAATGACGACCATATGTTACTAATGGAAGAGAACAAGAACCTAAGAAGACAGAAGCAGGAATTGCAGACAAAAATAGCCCAGTTCAAAGAACTCCATATTAGACTGCTGGACTGTCTCGGTCAGTGCATTGAGAAATAGCCTATGGAATTTTGCTAATTAGGAAGATGGGTTGGTTGTAAAATTTTTAGAAAGGAATGCTTTTGGGTCATTATCCACCTGTAAGTTTCAACGAAGTTGTGATAACGTATTGCCTTTCTGTAAAAGTTGATATAAACAACTAACAAATCATTCTGCACTAGTTTGATGGTCTAAACTTATAATCTAATATTAACATAACCAAATAACAAATTGAAATACGCAAGTCAAAAGAATTTAAGTAAAGAAATGCTTTCAGTTTAAAAGTGGTAAGTTTAGGGAGAGTTTGAATGCATCTAGTTTGCCACAGCTTGTTTATGGATTATGAAATAGGAATAGATCTCACGTGATTTATTTTGAAGATACCAGAAGATGCTAGAGGAGAGTTTGGTTTGGATTGTCCTACTGATCTTAAAAGTCCAAAAATGCAACACAAAATTTTCTGCCTTTTCCATAAAGTAAAAGATTTTGACTTTGAAAATGAAAAAGAGTAATGGCGAGCGCCATTTCTTTCTCCATAACACCTACCCCTTGATTTATTTCTATTGACAAAGAGATATTAGCATACCTTTTATTCTTTGGACCAGTTTTCTTCAGAAGGCCAACAGTTTCAACCGTAGCATTTTCCCAAGCAGAGTTATGGATCTGAAGCTGCCCTACAAAATCCTATCGAGAAAACTCATTTGCAGATTCTTAGTCCAAGCAACATTAAAAGAAGAATGTAACAGCTATTTCAAACACATTTAATTCAAATCAAATGATTGGTTCCGTCTATCACTACTTGTACAGGGTGTAATGCAAATGTAATTTCTAAGTCATTTAATACACACATGACAGAACTATGAAATTAAACTTTTTATACTCATTATAGAGTGTGGACAGAAACCTGATCCGACATTATTATAGCCTGAAGCTACGAGAATTCAAGAGGTTTCAGGACAGGTACTCCTACAAAGTGGGAACTGGGAAATATAAGTCCCAACTTTTAGCATGAAAGCACGATTTCTCATCATTGAAAACCCAACTAAAGAAGCAAGAAAATGAACAAAGTTTCCAGTAACAGGTAAAAACACACATGATATAATTCAAACTCGTCGGTCACCAGGACAACCTCTTGCTTTTACATGCAGTAACATTTAAGGGTCAGAGATCAATCAAAATTACAACTAATAAGAGCAAGCTTTGGAAAATATATAATGTCAATGATTGATGTAGTGAGGCAGTTGAACGAGGATGCGGATACACCCCCAAGAAGCTCATGTTGATACTACTCGGATAGAGAAGATTTCAGTTCTCCATTATTTCGTAGCTCCAGCACAATATCACAGCCCCCTATAAGCTCGCCTTTGTAATAAAGCTGGGGAAAGGTTGGCCAGTTGGAATAGGCTTTCAACCCCTGCCTCACTTCCTCGTCACTTAAGATATCAAAGGACCCAAAACCGACTCCCTCCTCCTTGAGGGCATTAACAACTTTAGAACTGAAACCACATCTTGGAGCATCTGGTGTACCCTTCATAAACAGCATAACTGGAGAAGAAGTGGTCAATTTTTTCAGACGATCTTCTATAGTTTCTTTCTTGATGATTCCTTTATTTGTTAAAACTTTCTTAAGTTCTCCACTTCTCTGCATTTGCAAGGCAATATCTGATCCACCAATCAGTTCACCCTTGATATACAGTTGGGGGTAACTAGACCAGTTTGAATAATCTTTGAGCCCCTGGCGGACTTCATCGTCCAAAAGAATATCAAAACTCTCAAAGTCCACATTTTCCTCTCGAAGGATTGCAACCACCTTGTGACTAAAACCACATTTTGGTTCATCAGGTTTTCCTTTCATAAACAGCATAACAGGACTAGAATTTACTAGCATTTTAAGACGAGAGGCTAGAGCTGCACTCAATCCACCTGAGGTATCACCTGTTGTCCTATTCAGTTCAGCAGCCTTTACTTCATCTGAAGCTATGCTTCCAATGCCATGATCTCTGAAGACTTCCTTCAACTCACCACTCTCATGCATTGCAATTACTATGTCACACCCACCTAGTAGCTCCCCTTTGCAATAGATCTGCGGAAATGTTGGCCAGTTAGAGAACTTCTTCAATCCCTCACGAATCTCATTGTCTGATAGGATATCAAAACTTCCAAATTTCACATTTTCTTCCTTCAAAATGTCAACAACTTTTCGACTAAACCCACATCTTGGCTCTTCAGGGCTTCCTTTCATGAATAACATGATTGGACTGGAGTCAATAAGTTGTTGTATTTGCTTCTGCAAAGCACTGCTCAATCCAGGTTGCACCTTGCTTTCAGTAACAGAACCATTGTCCCTTGCCAATTCTCTCACTGTCTCAAGAACAATGGCCCCTGCAGCCGTCCCAAGGCTAGCTGGGGCTGCAGGTTCTCCGGTGTTAATTGCCCCAGAAGCTTTAGCAACTTTATTAGCCAAGCTAGATGGATCCGCCCCCTCTAAGGTATCAACAGTCTTGCCATCCTGAAACAGAAAATTAATTACAATGCAATTAATTTTGTTCTCTACAATAGACGTTAGTTGAGCCTACACATTCCAAGCATCTCTAACTTTTTTGGTGTTTAATATGGAAACATATAACAATATCCTTGACCTACTCTTACAACAACGCACCCAAAGCCACTACAAAGAAAGGATGAACGTGGAAAAGGAAAAGTGCATTAAAAATAAATTCTGAAAGTTGCCCCTTGCCCAGTTGGCAAAGGCTTGAGATCTCTAGGTTATACCAACTTAGAGGTCTCAAGTTCAAACTTTCTTGTGAGTTTAATACCAAAAACTCTTGATGTCTTTCGGATCCAAGCCTTGGGGTAGGCACGGATGCCCCTGTATAGAGGAGCAAGGCTCCAACTCCTCGTTATAAAAAAAATTAATAATAATAAATTCTGAAAGCACAAAAATTTACTATGTAACAATTACCGATCAACAACAACAATTAGGAAGCCCACTACTACATCATATCCTAAGCAATTCTTGTTTTATTTTTCTTTCTGTTCATATACATTTCTAGTAAAAAATGATGAATTCAATTTACTTTTATAATTACTCACAAGAGAGAAACTAAAAACTTCCAGTAAATTTAAGGTCAATTCTTGCTTTGGAAAAATCAACAAAAGAACCAGGGAAACTTCAAAGCCAAGTTCAAAGATCAGACAGCCAAAACATTGTCATCTCTCCGGCTAATACAATTGGATCAACTACAGGTTGGAAACCATCCTTACACAAGTCAAAACAGTAACAAGATTCCATAATCCACCAAACCAACTTGGCAATTAGAAATAATTCAACTCAAATAAACTCGGCACAACCATTCCCCAAAATCCAGATGAACGCAAGAAAATTACAAAGAAAAAAGTAACAGAATACTCGAACAGACCTTGATAAATACAAAGTAAGGCACAGCAGCAACCGAGTAAGCCTCCGATATTTCGGGTTGTTCTTCAGCTTCAACCTATAATCTCCATGAACAACTAAGAAGATATACAATCGAAGTAATAAAAATTGACAGGCAGAAAAAGGATCACAAAATACAAGTAGTAAAGAGAGATAGAGAAACCCACCCTTAAGAAATGAGCGTGAGGAAAATCGGTAGAAAGGTGTGAAAAGACCTGGTCCATGTGCTTGGAAGCTTCACACCATGAGGCCCAGAAGTGGAGGATAAGCATGGCATCACTCCGGAGCAGGCCGTCCAGCTCCGCCTTCGATTTCACGTCCTTCACAGACCCACTCATTGTTCTTCCTGACCCGCACCACAGACAGACGGGCGATCAAAACTTGACTCTGAAATTCAATCGCGAATATAAAATAAAAAACCTAGAAGACAATGCTGAAGCGTGAAGCTTCTCTCTTTTTCTTTCCTTTTTGTTTTTAAATTTAAAAGCTTTTCTCCTTGTACTTATATTATAGCCATCGTATTAAATATATTTCCATTCATGTTTACGTGCAGTCATCAGTTGCACGTAGATGTGAACTTAAATCCACATTCCATCGTCATAGTACAAAAATATCAATAAAATATTATTAATATATATCTAATATTAATATTAATTATTTTTTTATTTTTTTATAAATAGAAAAATATTTATTTGTTAATTTAAATATCTTTTATAATTTTTTTAATTTTCTAACTTTAATCGAAATATCCAAAGACATCGATATTTTATAGATATTTTCATGAAATTGAAACATGACATTTAAAACCTTGGTATTTTTATTATTAAAATAAATAAAACTATGGACCTATACATCAAATATTTGAAAGAATATTTAAAAATTAATAGCTAAACACTACATAAGATGTTTACTATTTTCAAATCCTAATTACGTATGAGTCAAAAATGGAAAAACAAAATTCATAACTACCGAGAAAAACTGTCATTAGGTCAAAACAAGATAGAAATACGAATAGGTTTTATCCCTCAATCTTGATAATTGTGTTTATTTAATCCTCAGACTTTAAAATGCTTAAAAAAAATTCGGGTACTTAAATACTTAAATTGCATCCTTATACTTGCAGTTGATTTTAATTCAAATAAATCTTTCTGAAATATTCCTATGATGATGAGTAAACTAATAAATAATAATTTGCCATAATGTTTACAAGAAAGTGAACTAAATGGATAAAATAAAGACAAAAGCCAATTATAAGTTTTGTTGATGTAATCAGTCAAATTACATCTTTAACTAAAAATTTTTTCTCACTCATATTATCACTTACAAGTTCAATCAACATATCAAATCAACATTTACATAGTATTATTAACCGCACATATTTATTAAAATAAAATCCAAAAGCTCAAAAAATAATAGATGCAACCATTAATGACTTGAATTTTAGTTTAACCTAATATTCAAAGATTTATCTAAAACACACCATGTAGAGATATGTAACTTCTTTTCTAATTCGTATGAAAAGAAAAACAATCACATATCCTATATTATGGGGAGTGTGCTTTAGTGTGTTTTTCAAATATATTTCTACATAATCTATTAACCTATTTCAAAAATACATGGCTTTACTGCTTACACAACTCGTTGCATCAAGCAATTTTAAAAAAAAATACAAGCTTTTGGCCACATACATACACCAGACACTCGGTGCTGTGGATTTAGATTCAGAGAGCACAAAAATATAAAGGTCTTCTCCCGTGATGAAACTAAAATAATCTTCCATCGGTTTCTTGTTTCGGGTTCTTTCAGTTCCATTGCAACCCATTTGTTATCCATGCATTTTTTTTACGAAACTTAATTGTTTTCGATCGATAGTATCCAAACGAATAAGAATGAAACCGCCGTTTTCTTCCTCAGTCCACTCAATTGACTCTTTCTCCAAGAGCTTCATAACCTTTCCAAAAAATAAATGGAGGTAAATCACAACACAAGCAGAGTTCAGATAGAAGCTCATAATGCAACCAGATGTTAGAAGTATGCATCATAAGTTTGCAATATCTTATACCCATACCATCATTTGTGCTGTCAAATAACAAACATTCATGCTTATGTATGTATATATTTCATGCATGCATGCAACTGAGTTTCCTACTAATCCTTTTAATATGTAGGCAGCAATTTCTATCACTCCTCTTTCTTTCTTTGTTCTTTTTCCTTTTTTTTTAACTTCCAACACCTACAAGTTCCAACTTCACTCGTGTCTGATCCCCTCCTTGACCAAAAACTGAGAAGGAAGAAAGAAAAAACAAGAAAGGGTGAACCACAGGGAAAATGTTTCCAGGGTAAGTTCTTACCAAACGTCTACAAGACCGTTTCGAGGTATCTTTATCATTTGCCTCTATTATTACTTTAAGATGTTTGATTGCTGAAAAGAAAACGAAAATAAGTTGTATCAATATATAAAATGGATAACTGAGCCCCATTTGATACTTGTTTTGTTTTTAGTTTTTGATTTATAAGAATGGCTAATTTCTTTCACAATTTTGTTTGAGGTATTTTTTACCTTTCTTAAAGAACAAAGATGAATTTTTAACTAAATTTCAAAAAATAGAAACAAATTTTTAAAAACTATTTTTTGTTTAGCTTTTAATATTTAGCTGAGATATTGAAGACATTTTTGAAAAGTAGATTACTAAACAAAGAAAAATACTGATAGGAGTAGACAACAAAATAGATATTAAATGGGGCCTAAAAATGCAATTACGAACTGAAAATAAGTAAGTAAATAAAAACAGAGGAACTCACATGGGATTTGAGATAGCGAAGAAATTTGAGACTTCAAAACGCTCACTGCCTCCCTGCCACCAAGGTTGTGCAAATCAAGCAATATTTCATCATCTTCAGTATCTGCATTTCTGCTTACGAACAAAACAGAAAAAGTGAGCCTGAAATTGATTTACAGACATCTAAAAAATGCTGTAGTTTGACAAGGCATACTTGTAAAGATCATAACCACCAACCTGGGGTCAAAAATTAACTGGCACGATTGTTCATCTGCTTCTTGAGCCTTTTTACGAAAAAAGTGCCCCTACATCATGCATTTTAGGAACATGAGTTTACACCTCAATATACGAGGTCATGATAACATTTGTACATAAAATAGTTGACCACTATCCCATTTCCCCAGTTGAAAGAAATTGTGTTCATCTTTTGTCATGTAAAGAAATTACTGCATACTCGTAGTTTCATTTTCTCACATATAATAAGTAAACAGGATCAGAATGTTGTTGGTTGAAAACTCCATCAAACCAAGCCCCATCTTACTGGAAGGTTTTGGCACTAACCGTCTGAGATTTTAAACTTCTAAGAGTTTTGCTTTGCCTTTTCCTTCTCTGTTTTGCTTTTTCCTTCGCTCCTTTTTGGAGTTTGTTTCCTTTGAACAATTTTTGTAACTTTTCATTATTTCAATGACAAGTTCGTTTCTTTAGATGTTTTGGGATTGTTTGGGCCCATTCCAGAGATTGTAGGGCGATGATGGAAGAAGTATTGTTATTCCCCCCCATTTCGAGACAAAGGGCGTTTTCTTTGGCAAGCGTGTTTTCTGGCTACTCTATGGGGTATTTGGCAGGAGAGAAACAATAGAATTTTTAGGGGAGTGGAGAGATCTGTGGATTATGTGTGGGATCTTATTAGATTTAACACTTCTCTATGGAGATCGGTCACTAAAGCTTTTTGTAATTATCAGTTAGGAGTCATTCTTTTGGATTGGAGCCTGTTTCTTTAGGGGTTTCCTATTGCTGGGCTGTTTTTTTGTATGCCCTCTTTTTGTAGTTTTTATTCATTTATCTCAATGAAAGTGCAGTTTCTTATCAAAAAAAACATGACAAGTTTGTTTCTTGTTCAAAAAAATTTACAAGTGTGCTTCTGTTTTGATGTTATAACTACGATCATCATCAGGTTGAATAGTAGCTCAAATCTCAATAGCACGCCAAGATAAGATTACTTGGAGAAATGAGCTCTTGCTCTTCTTTGAGAAGTTTAGTTGGAAAGAAATACAAATTCTCCCAGGATATAGGATGACGTCAGGGAAGATATTTGGGACATCAATATTTTCATAGCTTCTTCATGGCATTTTCTCACTCTTTGTTCTGAAATTACACAGTTTCTTATACAGCTACCAATGTGAAAGATTTTCTATAATCCTTTGGCCAAGGGGCGGAGGTAATTTCTTTCGAACTTTTCTTTTCACAATCCCATCTCTTCAATGAAATATAGTTTGTTTCTTATTTTAAAAAAATAATAATAAAAGAAATATGGAAATACAAGATGAAAAACACTACACCATTACCTCATCTGTGAGTTTGGCTGCTCGAACATAATCCCCTTTAGCAAATACATCTATGGCCTATGAACAAATTAATTTTCTCATCTTAGAAGTGATTCGAATGACACTGAAAAAAATCAGTTTATGGCAGATTATACGCGTGTGTGGAAAAGTCAAACCAAGGCACAAAATCCACCTACCGCTGCATAATATTCATTCATTGTGCCCCGGTACTCCCTAACAGCCTTACGAAGAAGTTGGTATGTATTTTCTTCATCGTCAACTGCAGTTTGTAGAGCACTTGTCAGATCAAGAATAATTCAACGGCCAAAATAACAAATTAAAAAATCCAGTAATAAACTCAAACTAGTACCAATTACATTCCTAGAATAATCTTTTAACAGGTCTACATGACAGGACGATTCTATACTTCTTGAACTGTGCAGTAGGAGATCTTGCCCCAGAACATTTCAATAATATATGTACCAGCAATGCGACATGAGCATAATGGTCAAGGCATTCTTACCTCCCTAAAGATATATTCAGCAATTTACTTTATTTACCCCCTTGATTATGCTAAATGATGCACCCCCGTGAAACTTTTTGATTTCTTCAAAATGTGATACACGATTACTGATATTATATTAGTTATGTGGTCCAAAAGACAATGTCATTATTCCTATTAAAAAAATAGAAATACTTCTAAAATTTTAGTGATTTACTTATACAAACAATTGTGCCATAAGAAAGAAACTTTAATCATTTGAAAATTAGAATTGTAAGATATAGAATGTTGAGCGTTTAGAAAGTAAACAATCAATATTGAGAATCTATTTTTCGTCCAACTCCACAGCCAATGCTTTAATCTTCTATGGCTCCGTAAATAAATGTCGAAAAAGATAATTCTGCAGTTACCATCCAAACTATTCTCCGCCTGATGTTCCACATGCTTTTCATCCTCTGCATCCATGTCTTTGAATGGTTCACTCACCAACTGTCCAAATGCTCCAGACCGCTTCATCTTTGATACTGTTCTTCTTCTTGGTAACTCCTCTTCTGGTTCCTCAGAAGCATTAAATAAAGTAGTTAGAATCTCCTTTTGAAGATCGAATCTAGTCTTCCCCAGGTTAGTCAACTCCAAGCCTTTTTTGCTTGAGGCCATATTTCCATTCCTGGATGGACAAAAAATGAACATTAATTTCGAACTAAGTAACGAATAACAAGTTAACTTTGTCCATAAAGAAGTCTTATCCAGATTACTAGCATGTCAGGAAAATTCTTAACATAATATTTGTTCTAAAATGGATACGTAGAATAATGGTTATTCTACTTTTAACAATGACATAGGCTACACGACTGAATATGGAACAATGAGTGAATGAATAGACCAAGCAAACATGCATACCCTCCAGGACTTGAAGACGAAGCTGTAGTCTGCAAAAAAAAAAAACACTCGAGTAAGAAAGAAAATATATATTAAAATGAACTCATATTTCACAAAGCAAAAATGTCATTCTATAATCAAGCAAAGGTTGAACTTTTAAACTAGGGAAAAAATCATTTATACCTTTAAACTTTGCAGGTTGAATCAATTAAACCCCTAAACTAATAATTTTATTAATTAAAACTCTTAAACTTTTCTAGATGAATGTTGTAGGGTTCTTCCTTTGAAAACCATTAACACACATAATTCTCACAAGTGTGTGCAGACTTCTTCAAATGCAAGACTAACGAAATATTAAAGGAAAATGATAAAACAAGTGGGTGGTAGTATCTTTTATCAATATGGTAAGTTTTTCATCTTCTCTTCTTCCTCTATCTTTCTTTTGATGAAAGCCTCTGCAACTCACTTAATTCAGCATTACCCTCTAATATTTCATTAATTCTTCATTTAAATAAGTCTACACATATGTGAGAATTATACATTAACGATTTTTAAATGTAACCATAGCAGAGGGTGTAAATTGATTCACTTGTGAAAGTTTATAGTTTTAATCAATATAATTATTAGTTTAAGGTTTTAATTAATTCAACTGCATACTTTAGGGGTTTTTCAATTGATTTTTTGCCTTTAAATTATTAGAGGAACTTCCACCATAATTTTAACCAGTAACCAGCGGACAAATTAAAATGATTTCATTAATTGTAACGACCCTTTATCCTTTACACAACCTTCTATGTGAAAATGAGTACTCAAGTCAACTAACCGTGCCATTGGGCTTATTACCCGAACCACGTCTTTCCTCCACTGGAATTGTTGACCGATTAAGCAAATTCTCCATGCTCTGAAAACTCAAAAGGATACTCTTTAGAGGAATTAATGGCAAATTATTATGGTGAAATCTCTTTATAAGAAATAGATAGAGCGTGAAAACAAGATGCATGTCTGATCATGACGCTATTAGAAGGTATCTCAGACGTCATTATCGATCAAACAATGAACATAAACAAATTAAGAACTTAAATCTTTCTAAAGTTTAGATCTCGTATTCCATCCTGGATGTTCACAGCCTTAGCTGCACTTTAAAGCCATTTGATATCTACGCTTTTACATGACCAATAAGCCCCACACAGATATAACTATAACTTCCCCCGAAACCCCATGGTCAGGTTAGTAAGAAGCATTTCGCAACAGTTATTTAATTTTTCAAAACTAATTTCTTGGATTTTTACAAAATAAGTAATGAAGGTCGGCACAAATTTGAAGAAGTCATGACATATACAATTAGAGAGAGAAAGAGTTATCAAAAGAAACTGCTGAGTGCTGAAGGTCATAAAGAGAGGATAGACTCCACTCAGAACTGCAATTCTTGAAAAGCATCAGAGGCTGAAAAAGCCATTAAAACTGACAATATGCATACCTTTTTCATATCATATCCACAACTACCTGCAAAAACAATACAAATTCTGGTTACTGGTTAGATTTTTCACATATTATTCAATAATAAGCATTTCAATAAGAAGCCAATTTCCATGAAAATACTTCATACTAATACAAGTAAACTATAAACAAGACAATATACAAACCCAGAATTCTATTGCAATAGATGGAAATTCTTATATTATTGTTATTTATTCTAAACTCTCTTCTAGGCTTATAAATACTAAACTAATTGTCATCTTCGAAATCAAGTTGCTTTCAACAACTTTCCTTTGTAGGGCTAGCTGGGTCAAATACTTAAAGCTGGCACATATCTCAAACCATCAGCAATACAAATAAGTCTTGGATATTAAGTACAATGGTTAAAGAGACTAGTAGGACTTACATAATATTTAAACAATTACTTCGCTGTGAAAGCACTATAATTCACGGAGGAATTTCTGTTTGATGAAATAAAAACATAATTGCATCTAAAACACTTCTTGACCCTCAAAGAATTTAGAAATACCAAACCAAAACAGACATTTCAAGGCTATTGTTGGTTCAATTCTTGTATATTGAAGATACTAACTATTGAAGTTCCGAACAATGCATAAGGTTGAGATGAAACAATCAAATAAAAGAGTTGTTTAGAAGTATTACAGTAGAGAGTTCTGAAATATTCAATTAACACGTCTCAAAAAAACTTGTATTTCAAAAGGCCAAACAATAATCTTATTTTTAGACAGATTTGTAACTTATAAATCATGATAATTATTGTAAGGTTCTGACCCACAAACTTCTAACACAATTCCCTATGATTCTAACAATCTTCACACACAATTAAACTGTTGTGATTTTAATAGTATGTAATGCAAATCAGACAGACAACAAACAAATCTTGGCCTACTGGACAAACATAAGGTATCTGGTTAATTTCCCATAACTTGATATTTGAAAGACACCATTGAAGATAACTAGCAAAGATAAAAAAAAACAGCCTACCAAGAACTTCTCGAATCACTTCCCTCTTCAACCTGAACCCATCCCCAAGCATTTTGAAGAGGAAATTTTCCATATCTTGATGCAGGTGGGACTCGCTAGTGAAATTCGTACAATCTCCTTCACTCGAAGATTCATGCAAAACCTTTACCCCCACCTTCACCGGTTTATATACCTGAGTAAACTGATTTGCTGATGACTTCGACCTAGCATATTCTTTACCAATAACGCTCGAAACTGTGCCTGCTGAGAAAGGCTGAATCTTTGGCTTTGCAGTTTTTTGGCTCCCATTGCCTTGGTATGAATTCTCAGAACCTTTACACAAATTATCTCCATTTCCTATCTTGCCATTAGATGCGGAGCTAGGGGTGCTTCCCTGCGTTTGGTACAAGATTTCAGCAGCCAAATCTGCACTGTAGTCTGCCTTCAAATAGGCAGAAGCTATTTCATCAAGTGAAAATGTAGAACCAAAAGCATCAAGCAAAGACTTGAGCACCACGTCCTCCTTGCCGAATTTTGATGCGTTCACTCCATATGCTTCCTTTCCTGTCATTCTTTTCAGATCATAGGAAGTGGTAAAGCAAAGATCAAATACATTTCTACAGCGAGCAAACTTGCAATAAAAATTAAAACTCAAAAGTTAAATTATTTCCATTTTATCCAAGGTTAACCACAATGGAAACCAAGGACATGAGTTTCATTAAAATCATGATGATGATAATAATTTTAAAATAATAATAATAATGATAACAAACACATTCCAAATAGATGATTAAAATGGTAGAGGTTACTGGACATCGTAGATTAAACCAGTGACATGACTGCCAAAAACAGAGAAAAGGAGATATAGCAGATCCAAGATGATTAAAATGGTAGAGGTTACTGGACATCGTAGATTAATCCAATGTCCCACTGAAGCCTGGATTCTTCAAAAGCCCGAACAACTCACGAGAAAAAAAAAAAATACCAGTATCAAAGTATATCCAGAAATTATCTGGGTGACAAAACTCAATGTCATGAACGGGGAGAGATGCTGAGTGTTGTATTACCTCACTCTTCCATGTTTCTCTCGTTCTTGTATATATATATTCACACATTGTTAAGACCACACAAGCTCACACATCAATGAAAACCAAATAGAGATCCGGAAGAAATGCGGACATATTTGATTGTAATTTTCAGTTCTGGCTTCGTTATAATGAAAATGTCGAACAAGAAACGGATTCCCGGTAAAAATGCAGCAGTAAATAAATCCATAACTGAAAATCACAGTCAAATATGTCCGGATTTCAACTTGGGAAGAACTCAAACTTCCAAACAAAGTCGGCATTCGTTGGAAGAAAGAAAAACGAAATCACAAACAAAAAGATTGTTAGACCCATAACTCTATATTGAAAATCGACTCCAACTCCGACAGAAACATACGAAATCTTCGGGAAAAAAATTAACCTGGAGTGTGCTTGATAGGAGTTGGGTGAGGCTTGCTGTCAATGGTAGCGGTAGTGAGGAACCGATTACTGAGTAATGAGTGGGCGCCGCATCCTACTTTTATAAATAAAAAACAATTAAAATTGTTCGAACAGATAGCGAATCGAAATGCTTTTTGGCGCGTCGATGATCGGCTCGCTTCGAGGAGAAGTTTTGATTTGGACTCTTCCCACGCGTGACGCGTCTACCCAGTGAAGCTAAGGAAGTGTATTATGTGTGCTGTTGATTTTGTCCATTTGGGGATAGAAGTCAATTAGTTTTGGTTATTGCAATTTGTAGCAATAATATTTCGTATATTATTTAACTAATATTCTAATTTCCCATCTAAAATGATTGTGTTAAAACCGCTTTTTGTTTCATTTCTCTATATAAAAAAATCATTTTCATTACTGTTAAATGATAAAAACGACGCGACAATAAGAGATACTTCGACAATACGAACTATTTAAGTCACGAAGTACCTTGGCCAAATAATTATACAATTTTAGATTATCTATTGTATAATAATATTGTTAAATGATTAAAAAAATCATATTATTAAAAACTAATCTCCAAAAAGTATTTATGACAAGTGACTCATTTTTTAATTTGGTTAATACCCTTTAATTTTATTTTTTTTTTGCAATTTCCCCGTCATGTTAGATATCTGTCTTCATTTTTATTTTTGTTAGTACAACATATGAGGATAGGGGATCGAACTCACAACATTAGATATATATATTACGATCCGTCTTCATTTTAGCGTGAAAGTAGTTATAAGAGTTGTTTTGAACCATTCCAAAACACAAAAAGATAAAAATAAGCCAACATCAACTAAGTTCCAAGACAGTTAAGAAGCATAATTGAAACTATCTTATGTTCACGTGTATATATAATTTGACAACTTATCATCAAATTCATAACCACGTCCTATTTTTTGTTTATTTTCTTATTTAATTGACAAAATAAGTTAAAAGTGAGTATAGTTCAACGGTAATTGACATATGTCTCAAATCCAAGAGAATAGAGATTATGAATACAATATTCTATTCCACGTATTATACTAAAAAAAAGATAAAAATAAGAGTCAACAAAATAATTTAAAAAATTGAAGATAGAAATGAAAATTTTGAAATAATAGAGGCATGATTACAACGAAGCCTAAATTCAAGGCGTTTCGTACAATTTAACGAAAGATAAAATCAGGGAAAAGAAAAATAAGGAAAAAGAAAATTCCGACAATACGTGATCTTGAGACAGGTCAACCATTAACGCGCGATCAAAAGGTGTGGTCTACCCTTTCACAATGCTCCTCCGTGCGTTCGCATTTTCATCCCTTCTCGTCTCCTCGTTAACATTACACGCAGAGAGGAACAAAACAATCGCTACAGAGACACAAGGATTTGAAGGAAGCTTCGTATTATATGATGATACCGCAGCAATGGGCGTCTCCTTGTGGAAACCAATGCACGCACAAATACGCAGCACTCACCCAGATTCCTTGTAATTCCTTCTCTCTATCATCCATTTTTACAGCATTTTTCTCTCTTCCGCATTCCTAGAATCTATATCTTTTACGCATTTCTTCGATTACTTCATTAGACACGTCTAAAAAGTGGGTGCGGTTCGTAAGTTTAAGAACCCACCCTTCTTTAATGTTAAGCTAGAAACTCACGTCGCGTAAATCCGTTCTATTTTTCGTCGGATGCTGAACGCTATGGTCGAATACCGGACTCCTTGCGTCTGATTGGGTTATTACTTATTCTTATTACGCATGATTTTGCTAGGAAGCTGTATTTTGGATGAAACAGTTGATGGAAATGCCCGCATTTGTAATAGATTAAGGGAGAATATACTTTTAACCCTATGTTCCGTTTTAAAATTTGAGTTTTCGTGAATTGTATTTGTGATATGGATTTGGGGGTCCAATGTTGAGGATATCAATTTATTCGACTTAGGCAGTTGATAGTGCGAACGGAGATGGTTAGTTTCGTGTGGGATCCTTGAATATGGTGCTAGTTGACGTGGTTTTAATTTTGTTAATGTTTGAATTTGGGTAGTTTAATAATACTTTGTTCTGCATAATCTCAATGGTTTCAATGTAGGGCGGGTATTTTGCAAAAAGGGGTGTGATGCCGATGGGGAGGACTGGGAGGAATGTAAGTAGTTCTTCTTCTCATCTTTCATTTTTTCATTTCACAATATTTTTCTTCCAGATGTATTTTTCCTGCTTTTCTTGTGGTCTTGTGTGATTTAATTTTTAGTGTACATGTCATTTATCATTTTTGAGTGCTCAGTTGATTAGTTTATTGAGGTTCATTGAGATCTTGGGGCACACGGTTTAGTTGTGTTGAATGCTACAACTTGCTATAGTTATTTTCAGCAACATTCATTGTAGGCAGAAAATTACTGGTCCAGCAGAAATTTTTTCTGCTTCCTCTTTGATTTTCCCAATGAATTGAGGCAATGTACAGTAGTGCTGAATGTCCCTCCAAACCCTTAATTTGAGTAAGATTGGTTACCACTGCTTTCTTCCAAATGCTAGATTGCGGGTTCTAGAGAGCTCTCTTGTCAAAATCCTGACCAACACTGTTAGTTGGGGGAGAGTATCCATAAAAATGCTAATAGCATGTTAATATAGCTTGTGATAATTGAAAACATTCATATGGTTTTTCTCTTTTCATGGTTTTTTCTGTACTTATATGATATCTGATCATTTAGTTTAATCTTTACCGTTATAGATAAATTGTAGCTTTTAACAGTTATTAATGTGTTATTCGTGATAAGTAAAGGCTAATAGAACAATCTTGTTTGATGGTTTATAATTGTAAGACGATGGAATTCTAACAATCAAATGTTTAATATTGTTCATAAATATTAATCGTTGCTGTTGTTGAATCTCAAGGCTTGGAAGAATGCACTGAGATATGCTACAAGGATCCTGTACTTAAGGATCACCAGTGGAGTGCTTACATTGACCGATCTCCTGGAGCTGCCAGTTACTCAGAGGTACTTTATCGTCGTGGTATTATTTTAAAGAATTTATTTGATTCTGATGGTTTTCGTCGTTGATAGTTTGAACGAATAATATCTCAGCAACCCACCTCTCTAGTAATCACCATTCACCAAACATTCTCTCTGCTCTGACAGGATATGTGAACTATGAACATTTTAAGTTAATTCATATGTAGTATCTTTTGTTACAACCCATTTGTTAATTATACCTACTTTTGGATTTTGACTCTTTGCTGCTAACAGGAATGTTTTCACGCCTGTGTATCTGGTTGTGGCTTTAAGGTGAGTTTGATCCTATTAGGAATAAGCTTCTGGTCACTTTTACTTGCATTTATGAATAGTAACCGTGTGAAGTAGTAGTTGGAAGACTCATTTCATATGTTAAGTAAATGTCCAAACTGTAGATTAAGTCCTTAGTTCAAGTTCAATAATTCTTTGACTTTAATAGTCCCCCATCTCCTTTTTCAAAAAATGAGTTTTAAGCTGCTTTAGAAAACGAAAATGCTTTGTCACGATTTAAAACCTTGAACCGAATCATGGACGTGATACTCCCTGCACTCATTTTTTTCAATATACATACAGTGTTAGTGCCTGCACCCTGCAGCATGGTTTTGCTACTCATACTCGTATTCGGCCTAAACATGTAGTGGGACGTTGACATTGTTGATAAATGCTGAATGCTTGAAAGCCATGCAATCCTCCCCTGTACCTTCTTTTAAACAGTTAAAATTAAGCATTACCTAGAGCTATATTTTATACGAAGGGTGTAGTCTGATATTCTAAGATGCTGGTGTTATTGAGTGATTATCATGCATTAACTTTTCTACTAATGTCTTGCCATTCTGATAGCCTTAAGAAAAGTAATAGAAACTTTCATGTTTAGTAATTAACAATTCTAACGTTCTCGTATTCTGATGATGTTTCACTTTCTGTGATTAGTTTGAAGTCGATTCGGAGAAAGCTGACAAAATCCAACCAAACAGGCCTGTGAAACCAGCGCCTGTGGTTCCAACGCCATCCCCTCGACCTCCAATCACTGAATCTAATACCAAAAATGAAGATTTACCAAGCACTTCTGCATAGCAGTGGAACAAGAAAACCCACCGCATCAAAATTATAGTTAGTCAGTTAGGTTCTAGTTTTCCTTTAACCTCTTACATTCCTCTGGGGAATCCTTATAACCAGCAACCTCAATTGCAATGCAGGCTTACGTCTCCCGTTGCATGATATCTTTTCCCACGAGTGAGCTTCCAAATTCTGTTGGATGATGTATTATGACACTCACTTGTAAGTTCAGTCCTTCCTTGCCTGTGAAAGGACATAGGTTTCTGACATAGATGTTTGTCCCGTATGCTGAGAGTTGCTAATTGCTATGTTGTAGTTTTCACTTTGGCTTTACTAGTCAACGATTTTTGTGAAACGATGATGCGTATGGTGAAACAGGTTGCTGTTGTTTCGGAGAAGAACTTTTGGAGAACTTGTGTTTCTTTGGACTGAGCTCGTAGAAGTATATTAGCAGGATTCAACTCATTAGGAATTTGAGAAATGCAGGGCCTATTGATATGCCATCTGGATTTCGTGAATATTTGAAGCTGTTTTTTTTTTTTTTTGGTTATGTTATCCAAAATGTGAAAATTCTGAAAATAATATTTTTATATTTCCAATTTTTAGATTTTGAATTTGAAACTTTAAAATGTAAACTCACATTAAATTAAAAACATATAAAAGTTTTGCTAAATTTATGGTTTCATGTTATAAATTCATTTCATTTTTGTTAAAAATTAAAATATGCAAAACATAATATATTATAAATTAGGGTAAAATATATTTTTGATCCAAGTTTCAAAATGAACATTTTAGTTCCTGAGGTTTGGTCCTTGAAGTTTAAAGTATGTGTCAACTTGGTCCCTGAAGTTACTAATATTAGCTGGAAATGGAAAAGGGTGCAAGAGATAAGGAGATGAGAGAGAAAGTACAACCACTTACACATATATTTTTAATTAATATAATTTGCTACATCAGTAACTACAATAAACAATTTAATTGCAATTTGTCACGTCATTTTAATATTAATTAATTAATAGTAAAAAAAAAATACAGAGACCAAACTATTTTCCAAACTTCAGGGACCAAAAGTGTTCATTTTAAAACTTCAGGGATCAAGTTGACAACTACTTTAAACCTCAAAGACCAAAAGTGTTCATTTTGAAACTTTAGGGACCAATTAGACACCTACCTCAAACCTCAAAGACAAAAAATGTTTATTTTGAAACTTCAAGGACCAAGTAGATATCTACCTCAAACCTCAGGGACTAAAAATGTATTTTTTTTCTATAAATTATATAATATTGTGAACTAATAATTGTACATATTAAATTAATTAATAATATTTTATATTCAACTAAATATTCGTCGATGACTATTATTTGGTTTACAAATATATTACCGAAATTTTTTTAAATTTAAATTCAATTTTCTTAATATGCTACCACGAATATAATTAGAAGTTGGGCTTTTCTTGACTTCAAGAAAGTAGATATTCATATGTTATGCTTCTATGTTACAAGGTTGATTGATTATGAATTTTTTAAAAATATTTAGTTTCTATAAAACATTCGATTTGTTTATATGTTATGAGGTTGATTGGATTTTTTAAAAAATATTTATCTTCTATGAAAGTTTTTTTTTTCCATATAGTGTATGAAAAATTAATAATAAAAATGAAACTTATCATTAAATTAGAATCGTTTTTTATAAATGGCTAAAAATATTTAAAATTACTATAAAATCCACTGTTATTTTAAGGGAAAAAATGTAAAGCCCTAATTAGAAAGAACAATTGGATATTGGACGACGTGTCGTTCTTCGACTTGGGTCTTCTTCTTAGAGAACGATATCGGCTACATTGGTTCTTTGGGGTTCGTCGGACTGGGACCAAGCAGAGAGTCAATCGACAATCATCAAACTAGATGAGCTGCTGTAATTCATTGTTTGTATTCGGAGGTTCTGAGACTACACCGTTGGCTATAATTTCTCATTGCAGTCTCACTGAAGAACTGGAAGCTCCGATTGTGTGCAATTCTTAAAAATTCAGTGTGTCGAACACTTCTGGGATCCTCCTCTGCTTGCTCAAAGGTGTGCGGAACCCGAAGGAAGGAAAGAAGAGAAGGAGAGCATAATTCAGAATGCCTCAAGTAAAGATCATAGCGAAGAATTTCATGGACATGGTGGCCTCCTTGCCCGCCATGAAGCTCGACAATCTCTATGAGAATGCATTTATCTGCGAAGCCATTCTCAGGTCATTGCTCGCGACCTCTTAATGCTTTAACTGTTTCGGGTTCTTTTTATAACTGCAAACCAAAGTACTAAAACCTGGTATTGGATTAATTGTGGATTTGAATAATTTTCCGGATTGCTCTGTGTGTCAACTGGTGCTCTTCGACATCTGAGCTTGATTTTTCATATATTGGAATCTTTTTATAATATGATGTCACTTAAGCTGGTTTTTTTTTTGGCTCTAAAATGTTTTAGATTTGATATTGATGCTGAACTTCCATATTTCTTAACTAGCTGTTTTTTCATTTTCCTTCTTGTTAATTGAGTTAGAGGACCGTGGCCAAAGCTCTAACGGGTTTATCTTAAAAGTGCTATTAATCCTAGTTTTGGAGGTTTTCATTTATAAACAAAAATTCCAATCAATCAGGTCACTTCCACCTCTAGCCAAGAAGTTCGTTTTACAAATGTTATACATTGAAGCTCCAGTAGCAGCCAAGTCCATGGAGGAGTGGGTGCTTTCAGATGGAGTCTCAAAGTATAAGGTTGCCCTTGATCGATTGATTCAATTGAGAGTATTTATTGAGACTGCGGATAGGTATTTATTATCTTTCTTCATTATTTTTAAAATTTGATATTCTTTCATAATGCATTTTTAAAAGTAGAGACAGAGCTAAGAAAGCTGATATTCAAGTGTTCAAAGTAAGGCCAAGACTGTGGAGTCTTGTTTCTTTTCCATTAGTGGAAGTTGGCCTGCACATGTTCATATCATGATATCATCTGTATTCAGTATAGTCAAGAGGTTCATGCGAGAACGGTAATTATGGACTTGTGGTGCAGTACATAAATGCTTTTGCATGGTTTCTGTTTTAATCTCACTGAAGTTGTTCATAATTCTATCAGTAATTTTGCATGGTTAATAGTCCTCAATCCAATCCTATATTGTAACCTTCTATGGATCCGTATTTCATTGACAGGAAAAGAGAAACAACCTACAGGCTAAATCCAACATTCCAAGCAAACCTCCAAAAGCTTTTAATATATGGGTAAGTTTTCTCTCATTTGCTCCCAAAAATGCATTTTTTAACAGGATATTTAAGGAGGGACGGTACGTGATCCGTCTCATTTCCTTTCTACGCACCACAAACATTTTGATGCCCCGATCTTTCTTAATATATGTATATTTTCTTTCTGCTTGATACCTTATTTGCATTCATCAAGTCCAAATAGCTGATCGCTCATATTTTATAAAAAGAACCTGATCCTATAGTTGAAACTCCCTGATTTCAACATTTAAAAGTAATTTTCTCATTTAGTTCAGAGAATGACCATGAATTTGGATTTTGCAGTGAAGTTCTAGCCAGGGAACCAATGCCTTCAAATATAACCGTGAGGCTTCCAAGTTTGGAAGATCTTGAGGCTTATGCTCTTGATCAATGGGAGGTTGGACGATTTTTAAAATAATTTTCATCATCTATATATTTTTTTTTTGTGTACCCTCAAGCTATTATTTGTTTGATCCTCTTGGGCCTAATCAGAGGCAACTAGTCTTTTCAATTGCTTACAACTCAAGTTTTAATCTTGTATATTCTTCTGACCTGTTATTGTGTTAGTTCAGTGCTTCTTGCTGCAATTGATAAACTCAGGCCAAGCAGAGAAGCCATCAAATATCAGTTCTTCTGTGATGAAAGTTTTCCAGAAAGGCCTTCTAAGTCAGAGGTTACAATCTTGTTCAATGTACAATAGCTTAGTATAGAAATCACTTCTTATATCTAATATGATGTCATGTATGTTATCCAGGGATAAAGAAGCTCCACGACTAACTGAGAGTGGTTTCCAGTTCTTGGTATGAATCATGTGAACTATAAACCTCTTGAATTTCTCATTGATCTGTCTCACTGGGAATTCTTGTAATATATGTAAACTTCAGTTGATGGAAACAAATGCACAACTTTGGTATATCATCAGAGAATATATATCTAACTCTGAGGTTTGTGTTCTATTTTTTTATTGTTAAATCCTATTGCCTTCCTCTAAGAAAGAACTATATATATCCTGTCTTTAATTTGAATACAATTTCTAATTGAATCCAAATGATGGACAATTCTTACTTGAAACGAAAAGCAACCATTGTTAATTTTAAGACTATTTTTTTTAACATGTGTAAGTTTAGATTCATAGGTCGGTGTAATTTTATTTTTTATTCTTTGGTATTAACTCCTATTCCTCTTCTATAAATGTTTTATCAATATGGTGCAGGAGCGAGGTGTGGATCCTGCAGATTTGATTTCTTTTCTGCTAGAGCTTAGTTTTCATGTGACAGGAGAGGTATCAACACTTTGGTTATCTCTTAATTCCTTATTTTCATCTTTATCTTTTATTGTCGTGCTTGTGTTATTTTGTCACATTACAAAATTCTCTTTTCAAGTCTTTGCTGCTTCATATCATTTTAATACTGAACTAGTTTGGGTTGGTTCGGAGTATATTTTCTAACGCAAATTAATTATATTTTGTTTGTTATTTGAAAGCCCCCATAATACTGTGCAGTAATCCTAATTAACCTTCGTTCATTTGGGAGTTGAAGCGGCCTCTTTAGCTGGAATTGTTATGGTTCTCTCTTCCAGTTTTTGTCCTATGGATAGTGGTTTTGGGGCTGATTATGCATTTCTTTGGTCTAGCTTCAGTGGCTCTTCGGTGATGCAGATTTGCTTCTGAGATTTGTGTGTTTGTTTCGGGGCGCTTTGTTCTTCATCGTTTTATCTGGATTCTTGTATTTTTGGGAGTTCATCTCTTTTTTGGTAGGGTTGCTGGTTCTTTTCACTCCCTACTGGAGTTTATTATTTTGAACTTTTTTTTTCTTTTTATTTTAAATGAAAAGTTTGTTTCTTGCTAAGGGAAAATAATAATAATAACCTTAGCTTGTTTATGGTTAGGTTAAATTTTGTTGGAATTTTTGCTATATTTTTATTTATTTTTTAAATAATGATTGTCACTCTTATTTTCAAATGTGACTATAGAAAATTAATTTTGTTGAACTGTTTTCTAACAAAGTTCTGTAGAGTTCTTTTTCCCTTCATCATAAGAGAGAATAATGTTAATGATGAAGAACAAAGTACAAGTGGAGGTAAGGTATACCAATTAAGAGTCACTGGGATTACAAAAAGTTCATCCCATTGACATTGACAAATAAGAACAATAATTACAGATGTCGAATAGGAGCTCCATAAGATGATTTTTGATTTTGATCATCTTACACAATCATCTTTCCCTTAAACTTATCCTGAAAAGGTCTACAGGTCCTTTCATCAACACTTGCTGCATCATGGTCTTAGCAGCACGAAATGATCTGGTTTTTAGTTTCCATATTTCCTGTGCACGTGATGCACAAGGAGAGAATTATCATATGGGTTTCTCCTTTGAGTTATCTTGGCTTGTATTAATTCCCCTCATCGCAAGATGTAAAATGAAAAATATAATTTTCTTTGGTTGCCACGACTCCCCTCCAGGTAATCCTAAACAGGTTTCTGCTGTATTAGATAAAATAGATAATAAATATTTACAAGTCTTAGACTTTAGAATTGTCCAAATTCCGTTTTATTCTGTCAGGTTGCTAATTTGGCTGTGGTTTTTGACAGTCCTCAGCACCCGACCAAGATCAGTAGCCTCTCAATCATTTAAAGGTCTATTGAAATCTATCATTTATTTCTCCAATTCCAGCAGCAGCTAACTCATCACTTCCACAGCTAGGCAACTGAACTCTACAGAAAGCTAGCTTCAGAGGATTTTTCAAGGCCTATTTTACTTTCCCAGAGGCTGATTTTGGTTCTGTCACCAATTTTGAAGTAGAAAATTCCTTATTTTCTCTTTGCACCTCACCACAAACTTCCAAGGGCCCCTGCTTCTCATGTTCCTGTGGTGAACAAGTAGATGTAAATCAGTTGTCTCTATCAATGCAATACTTGGTGGAGATTATGGAATACAGGAAAAATGCAAGAGGGATCTCCATAATACCCATTCAGACACAAGTGCTAAATTTCTATCCTTTAAATTGTCTACTCCAAATCCGCTCTTTTGGTAGTTAGACACCCTCCTCCAATCAGCTAGATGGCTGCCATTGTCAATGCCCTCTCTAGCCCATAGGAGATTTCTCATCATACTCTCCAAAAGCTTAGCCAGTTTACTTGGATTTTAAATAGAAAGATCAGATAAATAGGCATATTCAACATTGTAAATTGCACTGAGGTGAGTCTTCCACCTTTAGAAAAGATGACACTCTTACACTTCTTATTTGTGAAACCTCTGGAACAGATTTTACATCCATTCCCGTAGCTCCAGGTGGCTATTAACCTGTTTGTAAAATTCTTCCCTTTGAAACTCAACTCTAGGAAGGGTAAGAAAAAAAACTAGGGATAACACTGGTTCATTTAACTTTAAGGCACATGCCCTAAACGTGTTCTCACGGGTGATTTTTGGCTATTCCATTGTAGACCTTTTGTACTCCTGTCAAAT